ATCGAACTTAACGCCTAACTTATGTCAACCCTCTATTGCTCTGAATCCTCTATTGTTCTGAATGAGTTATAGAGGAACGAGTAATAAAGGAAAAAGTTTAAGAGAAACATTTTTTTAATCACGGTTCAAGACTCCCCGTTCTCTTTTAAAAAATCAGTACTGTTATTGTGAGCAAATAGTTTTTTGCTGTTATTTATTTTATTAGTTTTCTTACAATAATTTTGGTTTCTTATGGCGATATATTTTGTTATGGTGTTGATGTTTTTCCCTTACAGTAACATACGTACATTGCTGTAGGTTAGTTTTCTCAATATTTTTGTTATTATCTGTTATATATTAATTTTGAGCAACAAAATGTCAAGGTCACAGATAAGAAATTTATCATCCTAGAAAAAATTCAAAATGTTGAACAAATTTTTTTAAGAATATAATTGTAGAAGTATTGGTTGAAAAGTTTTTGGATATTTAAAGTTAATTATTTGTAATGAAGTATTTTCTTTAGTTTTTCAAGCCATAATATTCAATAGAAACAGATAACCTTCATATAATCACAAATATTTTTTAATAGAAAGAAAAAACGCGCAATATGCCTTGCATCCATTATGGATATAGAAAAAATACTTAAGGCGACGGACGTTTTTATTAAAAAAGAAATGTTAGAAACCAATTAGACAGAACTGACAATTAAATTAGTAAAATGAGTACTTGGATAAGAATATTAAAATTGCTTTTGCTTTAGCCAACAAGTAAAATTAGAAAAGCATAAAATAGTTCATTTATTTCTTTTTTTTCATCCTTTTACAATAAGAGTAAATAATTTTCTTTTTTTTTTGTTTTTCAAATGTAAAATATTCCTTTTGACATTAAATCGATTAGTAATTTATCAGTTATAACTATTCATTATTATTATTGACAGCACTTTAGGCAATAATTTCTATACGAGAATACAAAAAAAAAAGAAAACAAAAAAATCGAAAGAGAATTTATTCCCTCTAAGGACTTCAAATCCAATTCGATTTCTACATTAAAATATTTTTGTTATTAAATAAAATTGATTTACAATTTCTATTACAGTAAGTATACTAACAGTATGCCGACAGGGTGTCTCGCATCTAAGTACACTGCTTTATACTGTTGTATAGGTTGTCATGAGTAGGCAAAACTTTTATATGGAAACAATGTTCACAGCTCAATAAATTCCGAGTTACAAGGTCTTAAAGACAAAGTTGAAAGATCTTTTTACTTCTTGACATTTTAGTTACTTCCTGCAGACGCATTATTCAATATGATTTGAAAACCACAAAATGGGGGCTTTCTGATCATCTGACAGATTTTCTTATAATATGAACAGATTTAAATCGGAATTACATTACTAATTGCATTACATTACTTTTTCTAGTTTTATCACAGCTGGCATCCGAGTTTTCATTTGGTATATGGGTGATCTTCCTACCCGTTGTTTTTTATTAGTTATTGAGAAAAATAAAGTACTGAAAATGTTTTTTTCCTTCAAATTTTTTTCTTCAATGACTCAAAAAATGTATACTGCATAAAGTTGAAAAACTCAATCAAAATAACATTAAGCTGCCGTAACTCGGAATCTGTTGAGCTGTGAACATCGTCTCCATATACAAAAATTCATGAGGGCCTTCATGAGGGCCTACACAATGATAATATAATATATCAGTGCACTTAGATATGAGAAACCTTGTATATAATAAAATAATGATTTTCTTTACGATTCTTGTTAATGTATGCGTAGGAGGGATTTTGAACAGCTGAATGATTTCTTTTCATAATAATAATTATGTTAATACTTGCAGTAGTGCTTTTCAAAGAAAATAGAACTATCTATCATTTTAATAATGAGAAAAACATATTGATATTCAATTTTAACCATTCAAATTCAGTTTTGTCATTCATTTCTTTTAATAAAAAGATTATAAATTGAATTATGAGTTTTCAAGAAGAGAAAAGAACATTATTTTAACAAGTATCGGGCATTCTTAATATAAAAGTAGTTGGAATTTCACTTTAAATATTAATAATGTACTCATGGCAATTAATAAGGGAAAATCATCCGTTAAAGGCATTTTTAAAGACGATGAAACTACTATGATTAGATGATGAACACAGGAATTTGATTTGATCAACGTTAGATTTTCAAATTTTAAGCTGTTTTGAAAATAGATTCAGCAATTAGTATTTCATCTCCTTTCGCTTCCAAAAAATATTTTTCAAATAACGTTGTTATAATTTGTGCTATACATTTGTATATATTTTTCGGACCCAGCTTAAATAAATTTGTTAAAAAAAATAAAGAAAATTAATAGATTAATTTCTAAAGATTTTTTATTTCCGAAATGAAAATAAATTTTCGCCTACGCCCTCTGCTTTAAAATTATATTTTAAATTTTAAATTGCAATTGGCAATACAATTGTAGAAAATTTGAAAATTTTCAACACAAAATACACACAAAATAATGTTGAAATCGTAAAATTTCATTAACATTTTGAGAAAAATTAAAAAAAAAAATAAAATTTTGAGAAAAAAAAAATCATAAACTTTAGGGATAATTTTTTTTTTTTTAATTGTTCTTCAAGTTCACATCAATTTTGTTGCAAGGACAGAGAAGAAAAAAAAAAATTCAAAAAAGAAATTGAGTGAAAAGAAAAGAGAAGAAAAAAAAAAGAGAGCAACAAGATTATATTTTTCAACAATCTTTATTAATTTGGTGTGTTGTTTTTCTCTCCTCTTCTCTCTTCTGGTTCTTTTCTTATTCATTTTTTCTGCCACTTTTTGTTTTTCTTTTTTGATTTATTTTTGAACGTAAATCTCTATATAGTCATAGAGTCTAGGATAAGTTTACGATTTCATTAAAATTACCGAGAGGGAAAACCAATTAAGTTCTATAGAGAAAAAGATTTGTTTTCTTTTATTATTATTTTGTGTTTTTCTTGTATTTTAATTTTTTTGTTTTTTCTTCAAAGGATATTTTAATTTCTGTTTGTTTGTTTTTTTGTACACGCTTCAATTTTCTATCCAATTTTTCTTTTAATTTTATCTTTTTAATTTTTGTTGTTTTTTATTTATTTTGCAACTTATCTTTTATTATAGATGAAAATGAAAATCTGTAAAAAAAAAATCATTTCCATTTTTTTTTATTTTTTTTTTTTGAAAAGTAATAAGAAAAGTTTCTCTTATTCATAATGATAATTATAAAGGAATAAAGTTTTCTATAATAATTATTGCTAAGAGAACGATGGTTAGATAATAAAGAAAAAAGAGAAAAATTAAAATAAAAAAAAATATATGTAATTAATTGGAAGTGAATACTAGCTCCAATTAATTCTTTAATAAATTTATAAAAAGCCAAGAGCACTACATCACTAAGAGCAACGATGATAAGGATGAAAAAGTAAAAAAAAAAAATGGAATTTAATTTGGAATTAAGGATGGTTTTCGTGCGATTGTTGAATTTTTGTGTTTTTTTTCCCCAGTTTTTTGAATACTTCAACAAATGAAAATGAAGATAAGTGAGACGAAAAACAAAAAGGAATAAAATTAGTACTCAAATTATGATTTTTTTTTCTACTACTTATAATTTTAGTCCAAATAAAATGTACTTAAGGAAGCAAATTTTTGATATTTTATGGTGTTGAATGTAGAAAACAAAATTTAATTTTCACAGTATGAGAGACTGAACGCAAGGATTAAGACTTTTAAGATTTTGTAAGTGCATAATTTAATTTAGATTTGTTTTAATAATTTTTGGTTTTTGCATAAAATATTTTAATTATACAAGGTACTTTATGTTAACAGAAGAAATGCAAGGAAATCTAGAAATAAAATTATGTAAAACAAAGGACATTTTTAAAGTAAATTGAGTGAGAAACAAAGTGATATTTTAATCGTTAATAATGAATTTACTTTCTGGAAGAAAAGACTCTTTTGTTACAGAATATTTCTTAAGATTTTGAGAAATTAAAATTGAATAAACAATATTATTCCTAATTTGCTATTTTATCAATTTTAAAAAATTGTAATATTTTTTATCGCAAAATTTTATTATTTTTAATTTTAATGAAATTCGTAATATTGATAATACAAGGTGAATCGTTAGAAATTTATATTGTATATATCCTAAAATTTTTTAATATATAGTTCTTCGAATTTAAGATTGTGTCTATAGACAAGATTTGTAAATCTTATTGTGATTTTCAGAATTGGATATTCAGAAAAAGTGAATTCGCATGAATAAAATAATTAAATACTTGGAAAAATTTTAAGAAAAAGTGAATTGTAAACAACTGTTATGGAATGTTTTCATATTTCAAAAAGCTCTAAGCAGGAAATCTAGAAGTTCCTTGGAAATTGAAAGCTACCCATATATGTAATTTATTATATACGAAAATTGAATATTATAATTTTGAATTTGCAATATTAAAATAATAAAATTTAATTTAAAATTATTAAATTGCAGACAGAAATAAAGGTAGTAATAAATTGTAAATTAAATTTCAAGGAAAAATATTAATGTTTAAGCATTCCCTAACGCAATTAACAGGAATTTAGTTTAATAGGAATTTTTTGTAATAAAAGATTTTAAAACTTGTTTAACAAAGAGTTCTCTTTTGTATATATATATAAAAATGTGATTGAATTTCAAAAATAATTTCAAAGGTCGCAAAAAATAAATAATTACATTTTTCAACTTAAAATTTTACTATAAAATTTTACCAACCATATTCCGAAGAATTTGAAGTCAATTAAAACTTTTTTTAATTTTTTTCGTAACACCGGAATGAAATTTAAATAAATTTATTTTAAAATAACTAACTTGAAGTACTTTATCTGTAATATTAATTATAAAACGATGCTTATACAAAAGAGTATCTAATTAAATATTGTGAATTGTTTAAAAAAAATAAATAAATTTTTTCTCTATCCTGAGATCCTTAATAATAATTATTTATTTATATTTTTATAATGTACTCACCTTGCCAACTATTGAATCCATGTGAATTAAATCCTCTCAGACTTGGTATTTTATCATTATTATTATTGTTATTATTTCCATTATGATTATTATGATTGTTATTATTATAATCCAGTTGTTGGTGTGTATTTCTATCTAATAGCGGTGGGTTATTTTTCATATGTGATAATTGTAATTGTTGTTGATGTTGATTTTGTTGATATTGTTGTTGTAATTGTTGCTGTTGTTGTTGTTGCTGGTGAATTAATTGTAATTGCTGGAATTGATGTTTACTTTGATGTGATCCTTGTTTATGGGATTTACTTCGATGACTTTTAGAAATTGAATTTACTGGCCGAAGGTATTCATTTGAAACCTAAAAATTAATTTGATATAAATGAAAAAATATAAAATTATATGAGAATATATAACAGGTCTTCTTTATTTTAAATGAGTATTAAAAATCATATTGTGCGAATGAATGTAATGTATCAGAAATGTAGGTATGTAACAAAATAACGTGAATAATATACGACATATGTTCTATATTTTGCTTTATTTACAGGTGACAAATAAATATCCTTAGGAGCTGCAAACTGGAACAGCTTAAATTTTATTTTTAGTTAAGGTATCTAAAATTTTTTAGTGATAAAGCGAATTTTAGTTAAATTTTTTTAAATATTAAAATTTTTTAGTAGACATAGGCACACATAATTTAAGTATATTAGGCGTTTTCTTAAATACACAGTTGAAAAATAACAGTTTAATTAAAGTCGGGCAACTACAATCTCATACTAAAGGTAGATAAGTTTATCTATCTATGTAATTGTATAATTTGGATAGTAAAATCTATACACCAAAATATATTCGCTATAATCTATGACCCCATAATTCCTTCCTAATCATATTATGATTCTTATTGCATTCGAAGAAATTATGACAATATTAATGTCAAAAATTTGGAAAATTACCTTTAAATTCTAAAAATTTGGTCATACAATTCTAAAATTGCATATTCAATTTTAATTAAGTTTAACATGGAAATAAGATCCCACGAAAATAATATTCTGTATTCTATTCATAGCTTTGTATATAGATCTTTGTAATATAACAATGCTTTTAATTATGGTTAAAAACATTATACAGTACACATAGAGTCGCTTGAAATTCTAAGAAGTGCAATAATTGTCGGAATTTGGGATGTTTTTTACGCAATTTTGCATTTCATCGCTAACGACGGATTTTCAGTTTTTTAGTAGCACTTTGTATATAAAAGTTATGATTGTGTTACTTTTTAACTATTACTCGTACACTGTAAAAAAAACCAGAATTTTCAAGGTAGAACACTCAATTATTGTTTTTGCTTCTTTAAATTAATACAAAATGGTTTCTTTTAACACGAAAATTTAATTTTGGTACAAGCTTTATAATTTTTCTAGAATTTTAAAGAAAAAATTTCGCTATACAATTTACAAATTATTTTCAGTATTATAAAAATGTTTCCAATTTAAATTTTAATTTTAATTGAATATTTTTTCCTTTTTTTTCTAGAATTTAGGTTTTTTTTTACAATTTTTTCACGGAAGAAGTGTACGTTTTAAATTGCTCTTTTTAAAGCACATTTATACATATTAAGTGGTTGACTGCAATGCACAATAGGAAAAACGCTAAAAAGTATAATTTTTGAGTCTTGCACGTTTATAACCACACCAAGTTAGGAAAAAAGGAAATATTATTGCAGGATGAATTAAAAATAAAAATATTTTACTAATGAATTTAATGAGCAACAATTTTTCATGTTCATATCGTAATTTTGCAGCACAAATATCAGTGGCCTCAAACACAAACCGCCTAACTCGAGTTAAGACAAAAATGAGATATGTTTACCAGCGAATTCTCCGCTTTGAGTTTCATATGCTCACAAAATTTGGTGGTTCTACGATTGTTGTAGCCGGAGTTATTGTCGAATTCACACATGACCTAACTCGAAATGGTAGCTATGTGCACTTGCACTAACCGCCTATTTCGAGTTAGGAGCAGAAAACATCTTTTTTATGTTTTTGACAAACCACTTATTTCGAGATAGGCTATTGTTGCAAATCAAAATTAGTGACATTTTTTTTTATTTGTATGAATTTTTACAACCGCTTATCTCGAGTTAGGCTTTTGTTGCAAAATTAATTTTGATTTTTTTTAAATACTAACTCGACATAAGCGATTTGTGTAAAATAAAAATTGGTAGTTTTTTAAACTCATCTCGAGTTAGGCGATTGTTGCAAATACAATTATATTCCAAAAGGCTTCTTATGTTGAGTTAGGTTTTTATAACGCGTGCAAATAAGAACCAAAAATCAAAGTTAAGCGTTTAGTGTTCGAAATAATACATAATTAGTATAGAATATTTTTTAGTTTTTTATAATAAAAAATATTTTATAACGCTTAACATATTATTTTATGTGATATATAGTGTAGGTACTTTATGTCCATGGTTTAAAACTTGTTCACTATAGTTAAAATTAAATCTTATATTCAGCGACAAGTAAGATAGTTGTATTTTTTAACACAAAATATAAAACATCTGCAGAAGTTACCTGCATTATTAATGCTCTAATTACCCAAATATCCCATGTTTAAGATTTGAATTTTTTTATTTAACAATAATAATCTTGTAGGTCATTTCGTGATTTACCTGCGACAAATGTTTTTTTCAATTGACGGAGTTCCCATGTTAAAATGACACGTGGCTAGCTACCTGATGGTAGATTGTTTTGCCTTTGTAGTCTAACATAATTGTATTATTAAACAAAGTGTGGTTTTATTACGCCCTTGTAAAACACATGTTATTAGGAAGATAAAATTTTTGTGTTTAACAAGAGTTTTCATTCTAATTATTGTACTACAAAGCAATATTTTTATTATAAACTAGTAAAACACATTTTGTTAGAAAATTCAAATTATTGTAATTTGCAAAGGATTTCAATAAATAAAACTGGTACATCTGGGAATAACAATATTTTGTTATACTTTTTATTACTCATTTCCGTGAGATCAAATTTCTTCAATTTTCAAATATTTATGATATTTTTGTTATTTCGAAGGAAGTATTTTTTACAAAGACAGTTATTTATTATTGTTTTTAAATGTGCTGATGTTGGAAATTGTTAAATAATGCAAAAATTATCCAATATAAACTTTATTCACGCTTAATAAATGTACATTAAAAAATTTGGAACTTGCTAGGAGAGCTGAGATGATTGTGGCGGATGTTATAGGTATTGCAATATATTTGAAACTAACATAACGGATTCAAAGTGTTTTAAAGCATAGAAATTAGCGAAACTGGTCCTATAGTAAATAAACAAGCATCAACAGATCTTACTTTGAAAACCGAAGTTAATACAGTTTTGAAAACCGCAATTGACTTTGGTCGTTGGGACTGTACTAACGATCCTGATTTTAAAATTGACAACATTCAAAAGCAAGTTTTCGGGTCCTATTGGGCATGTGAACATATTTGTAGAGATAAAAAAATATGAAAGGCTTTCTGCTTTTATTCTTTTAAGAAAAATCCTTTTACAATTTGCCGAACGGTTAGAAAAATTCGCTTCATCTTTCGCGACCGGGCTTCCTGAATGCACTCAAGTACATGAACGCTCGAAACTGACTCGTGGTCAATTTGTATGGAGTGTTAATTGAAAAGTAAATGCTCATAGCTAAAATAAAAATGTCGAGCAAACTTACAATATTCTTTGTTTATTTGATAATCAAATACTTATATACTCTATGATAGGAGAGCAAATTCCGAACCAATTTACTTTGCCACAACTTTTTACAGAGATCTATATACTTTTTACGGCAGAACTTAGAGAAAAACTGACTCACAAACCATTCTCTATATGTAATTAATAATACGTCTCCAAGATTTAATTGTCACAAGTATCGAATTATTATTTCCTATACGAGTTCGAGTTCACTATCAAATTTGACTTTTCGTTACAGGAGTTGTAATGACTCACACTCGATTTCAGTTTGCTTTCGATTTAAAAATTTTAATTAATTCGCATTTAGTATCATTATGAACAAGTAAGAAAGTCATATGGACTATAGTACATAAATAAAATAACAAACACAAAACTCATAAACTCATTTTAGAGATTACTTTATGTGCTCATTTTTACAATAATGTAACAACTTTGTCAGATCCGTTGCACAATGAAGCCTTTTTGTAATTGAATTACCTTTTGAAATTCTCTTAAGTGGAAAGAGTCGCACCACAGATTTCAAAAAATTGACTTCCAAAAATATTTTACAAGAACAGTTTATACAAAGATTTTTTATATTTTAAGACGAGGTGTTAATTAGTTAGATTTTCAAGATATACTTCGAATTAAAGAAGAAGAGAAAATTAGTCCAAAAAAAGAAAAACTTAGAGTACTTGATGCAATTTATTGATCCTTTGGTTCACAAATTTTACAAAAAGATTAAGACTGGAGATTTAGCAGATACTCATCCATATTTAGTTGGAGAATCCGAGAGAGAATAAAAGATACTGTCACCTTTCTTAAATTTAATGAAAAAATTATTTTTAAACTTTTAGAAATAATTTTTACTTGAAGTTTATTCATTTTTTACCTCAATTTATGTTTTTAATGACAATGATTTAAAAAAAGAGTGAAAAATCAAATAACGTAAAAATAATATATATATTTCTTCCCTTTTTAGTATAACTTAAGTCACCTAAAACCATATCTTCAGTTTTGCAACAACAGCTTAAGTCGACTTAAGTTTGACGAAAATACAAAAGTAATTTTTCACAAATCGCCTAAGTCGAGTTATGCTTTGCAAAGTGCTTTTTATAAATTTTGTATAACCGCCTATCTCACTTTTTTCATAATTATGAGAATACTATTAGTTGTTTTACTTCAGATTGTGAGTTAATCGCTTCCTTTTTTAATTATCTTTCAATCAAAAAAAAAATTGGTTCAAAAAACTTCACAACTTTTTTCAAAATTTAATTTAAAGTTTAAAATGCATTTATCTCGAAATCACTAAAACAGACTTAAGTCGTTTGTGCTTGAAGCCACTGATATGTTCTCTTTCAAAATACAATTTCTCAGGCTTTAATGTTATAAAAATATATAGTTTTAAATATTTTTCCTATTGCCTATGCAGAGGCAATTTTAAATAGAATTAGAAGTCATCTTATTGCCTTATAAAAGTTTTGTAGTTCAAGATTAGTTCGAAACAATTTTCCACGATTTTCTAAAATATTGACTTTTTTTCTTCTTCAAACAACTCATAATGCTATAGTATGTGTGGGAATAACTTTTAGTTTTCAAAAATAATGCACATAAAATTGAAAATAATTGTAGAAAAACGTAAGTGAATTTCTCGTTTTAATTGGTATTTCAAAAGCGTTTGCATGCATCATGCATGTATGGAAATGGACACAGAACTATACAAACATAACTACATCATGTTACAATGTAGATCTTAAAAATGTCGAATAAAAATTTTTAATTTTAATAATTTTAAAGTCTGACGTGCTTGCCAAACAATTTTATGTAAAATGTTTGACTTCTTTAAAATTTCAGCATATTTTAAATGCAGCGTAGTAAAACAATAAACTTTAAAGTTTTTGGGAACATCAGGAATTGGAAATCGAATTAAAGGCCGATTTTGGGTTTTTACCATATCTGCGAAACTAATTAACGGAATTTGTTGAAAGTAAATATTTTACTTCAGTTCCGGTAGCAACGAATAAGCATTTTAGGGAATTTGAATGGTACAAAATGAAACTAAGGGCTAAACTCAAATTTTTCTAAATATATTATTAACTAAAAACTTACTATAGTGTTCTTTAAATTTGAAAGGAGTAATTTTATGCAGCATTTGTGATGAACTAGACAATAAACATTACAATCAAATTTTTTTTACATTCCTCAATTTATTTTTGAATTCCCGAAAAAAAATTATAAGTTTACTGATTTTGCTATTAATAATTTGCCCTTTTCTTAATTTTCATATTATTATATTGACCTTTTACTTAATTAAACATTAACTTTTTGGTTCCACTAAATAACTGTTTATTACTAGAATTTATCAATTTTGTTTTTGGGGCGGAACATTGAACTCAAAAGCAAGAAAAAAAATTTTTTTTCCATTATATTTTCTTATGTATAGTAATTACATTTAAATTGATATCCCAAATTCATTTCTTCATTACATAGACCAAAATGTGATCTTTTTTTTTTGCTTTTTGAAGAAAAAAAAGTATAGAATTACAACTTTTACTTAACCATTATAAATAAGAATGCCAAAATGTCTGTTATTGAAGTATTAAAGAAAATTTATACTTTCTCTTTCTGACAAACCATTTTTTTCGTATTGCTCTTGCGTATCCCTAAAATATATTTGATTAATTATTGTCTTAGTTATTCAAAAATTCTCTATAATTAATTTGCGGTATAAGATCAAAAAATATGTTTTAGACATTTTGTTGTACAGAAGAATTACGAAAAGAACATTTTTTTTCGTACCTTCATTAAATGTAAAAAAAAAAAAACTTTTTCTTTTCTCATTTTTCTCGTATTTTTCCTCAATTTATGTACCATAATAATTTATAAAATTGATGGTTAAAGCCCAGTACATACTTTGGTTTTGAAGTTAACCCAAAAAAAAAAGAAAAAAATAATACCGAGAAAAATATGTCACCAATGTGTCCTTAATGTAGAAAATAATAAAGTATGCCAGAATGATAAAAAAATTTTAATAGTAGGCCTCAATAAATTATTGTACATAATTAACACTGAAATATTTTTTGATAAAAAAAAGTTTGTGTGTATATATAGCTGATTTTGTTTATAAAAGGTAAATGCCTGTATTAAAAATCATTTAGAATTAATAAATCTTAAATATTAGTTTAATTATTCAAGGGTGTTTTTTTTTGGGTTTTTTGGTCCAAAAGGTGAAAAGTAATTTTAATGAAATTCCATGCTTTTGTTTTTTTCTTTCTTTTTTTGTTTACACTTTTATGAGCATGATATTATTCAAATTTACGTAAAATATTAGGCATACAAAATATGTAGAACTCCTGCTAACCTTTAATAATTTTGATAAATTTTCTTCTATTTTTATAAATGTTATTATTATAAAGCATAATAATAATATTATAATATTAAAATTATAATATAAAAATACTATTAATATAAAAAGTATTAAAACAGGGTGAGTTACGCCTTGAAAATGTGAAAATTTGGCAATTATTTCTTTATAGAATGCATAAAATTTTATATAATATGAACTCTGCCACATCAATTTGCAATCCTCTCAAATTCGAAATTTATTTTTCTCTTATTCGAATTGACGATCAAACTTTATTATTCAAAAATTTTATAAAAAATGTTTATAAAGATAGACCAGAGGAGTGGCGATATCATTTTGAAGAAAATCATGAAAATTTAGAGTTTTTGCTTTCTCGTTAACAGATAACAGGCATTCTTTACAGTTATACTTAAAATAAATTATTTTACCGTCTGTCTAACTACACGCATTCATCGAAATCACTTTACAAAAAACTAATGCCAGGTTTACACTTTTTTTCCCTGGAAACGCACTAATTATGGTTTTGTTCTTATTATTTTTGTACAATTTTGCATTTTAAAAAGAATAGTTTCATAAAATTTAATAATTATTGATGTTAAGAGTGTAACTAACAAAAAATTGTATGATTATGTTTGATGTGGAAACAGAATTAATGTTGGCGCTTAAACTATGCCTTGCAAAAGACTCTTTATTAAGGAATTATTAAGGCAGCAAACTATAGATAAACTGATTAGAATTTTTTTAAATTTTAATTCTACTTCGAAATATTCACCCTATATACAACATGTTTTAGCAAAAACACCAAAATAATTTTTAGAAATGATGAAATGTCTTAATTTTTGCTACAAAATGTTTATGAAATTCACAATAATGCCTGTAAACATTATGAGCTTGCTGATTGTTTTCTATTTTTCTATTTTTCTGTTCTTTTCATCCTTGCATTTTGTTGTTTTCTTTAATAATGTGTTATTTATCCTGCTGTTTCTATTTATTATTTTAGTGTCTTTTATTTTTTTTATTATATTATTTTTATAATGTTGGTGTTAATATAATAATATAATAGAATTAAAAAGTATGTATGTATATAAATAATATTGTAAAGATATTCGTGTAATCTTTATTTACTTTTAATAATATAATAAAATAAAAATACACAAGAAATGGCAATACTGCACAAACACAAAAAAAAAAAAACAAACATTGTTTATTATCGTACATTTTATTAAATGGGTTTATATAAATAATAATGATAATGATGATTATATAATGATAACAATGATAACGGTAATAATGATGATGATTTTAAAAAAAATTTACATATACATATATAAATTGTCTATCTATATATATATACCTATATGTATGAGTGTAAGAGAACTAAGAAAAATAAATTAAAATTTTTTTGTTTTTACCTTTTTTCCATTAATCAGCCATGTAATATGTGGTATAGGTCGCGCTACTGTTGTATTACAGAGCGCTATTAGCTGATCGCCAATATAAAATGGTGGTTTCTTTTTGAATTTAATTGCCGGCGGACCACTTTGTGGTGCTGTAAATTTTTAAAACAGGAAAAACATATATAAAATTATATTTGTAAAGCATAAATATATGTATAGAGGGAAGAAAATGTTAATTAAATTAATTATTTTAGTAATCTGTCCCCCTCTCTCTCTCTTTTTCAATAAATATATCTTAAATTTTCTTATACGTATATAGAATGAAATATTGTTACGATAAATTTTATTTTAGTAATTTAATTTTTCACATTAATGAATAAGGAATTTAATTATTGTATAATTCTCAAATTTAACTAATTATGTTAATTTAAATTTTTTTTTTAGGGTGATGCTATTCTGATTTTAATTTAATTTTTGTTGTATTTGAAAATGAATTTTTGGAAACTACAAGGGGTAGCTTCGATTCATGTATGAATAGTTTCGAAAAAATGTTCTTAAAATTAGTCTAAATCCATTTATTTTTGTCATCAGTGTAATGTACAAGTTCATTATTAGTAGAAGGCATAATGAATTCAAAACTATAGGTCACAAGATTTAATAATCGAATAATCAATAACACCGGTTTAATAATTCAAATATCTACTTCTAAAAATTCTTGATAATAAAATTTATTCAAAATTATTATTGAATATAGACAATTAATAAAATTTCACTTACATATCACATGGAGTGGTTCTTCTTGTGATGCTTTTGTAAATATTGGTGTATCTGTTGATACTTCACAATAATAATGACCAGATGCTTCAAATTCTAATTTATTTAAAGACAATTTTGTTTCATCAGTTTTACTCCACTGCAATAAAAAAAAATTAAAATATTTAATTAATTTAAAAAAATGCTCAAAAAATTGTACTCTAAACTTAATTAAATTTAATATTAAATTTCATTATTAGAATTGAAAATTTTTGTCTGATTTAAATGAGTCAAAAACAATAATATTATTTTATTGTCTTAAACAATAATTACAATTTATTATCCTTGTCAAAAACAAATCTAATAAATTTGTTAAAGTTGAATTGCATTTTGATTTTATTGATTTTTAACTAGAATAACAGCATTTTACAAGTCCTTTTTTTGTATATTATAAATAATTTTTGATAACAATGTTTAGATTTTTTTTCAAAAATTTATTTTTATCTCGCACAGCTGCCGGCATTTTATGTATGTGGAATATGTGTACGGAGAAGAGTTTATTAATTAATTAAATTCGAATTGTATTCGATTCTTAATATAGAATTTTCATTAAAGTGTATAATAACAAATTTTGTTTAAATTAAATTTTTATGGGAAATTATTTTTTCTGAAAAACCCAAAGAAAACTTTTTTTATATATTGCTTAAAAATTCATACAATGATTTTCCTGGAAAAATTTTATTTTTCCCAAAATATTTTCCTTAATTTTGTTTTTCTTATTTGCGACGCTTTTTGTTAAAATATCATAATACCAGTATTACTTTGTTTCCACTGGATTATGGTGTATGAATTTGGTTTCATTTTATTATATTTGCATTTACATATAGTCATATGTGAAATTATATTCATACGTGTAGGTATACATGAAAATTTCATGCAATTAAAGGTATATAACGAGAAAGGAAATGATTGGTAATATTTGTATATCTTTTCTCTGAATTCATCCTTTTTTTTCTGATCATGGCGGTTTGTGATAAGCGAAGTATTGTTCCTATATTTGAATTTAAAGTGAAAATTTTTGTAGAATATGATGAATTACAAGGTAATGTTTTCTAAATAGTATTTGGTTAGAATTATGTTAAAAAAACTTAAGAACTGTATAGAAACATTTCATTGTAATGGAACAATTAGTTTTTGAATATTATCCTAAAATTTTTTATCGGGCATATACAATTAAACATTATAGTCTAAGTTGAGAAAGCGTCCTATCTTGTAATATTTACTTTCTTATATTCAAGTAACAATTTCTATTTGGCTCAGAATTAAGTATAAGAGTATACAACAGAATTGAACAGGCATCAAATTAAATAAGACAGATACGCAGTTAACAAGGAAAAATTCAATTACTTAAACAGATTTTTATTTAATATACAACCATAATAATTTTCTATATTAAATAAGTATATTCAGAATAGCTTAAAAATTTAGGCATTCAGCATAAAAAAAAGAAAGTATTTTTAAGAAATTCATGAGAAAAATTAGGTCATGTGACAGTTTTTTTGATAAAGCATGAAAAAAAGAAAATATAGGAAAAACTTTCTAATTACTGTCTAAAACCATTTTGAATGAAATTCTTGGAATACAATGACATTCTTTTCAAAAAAACAATTTACGAGTTCCACTCTGAAATTTCATTCTTTCATTTGGAAAAGAATTCAATTGAAATCATTGTATGTATGCACATAATATGTATATAATGAATATTAAAATTATATAAATACGTTAAATTGTGTATTTGAGATTTAATTATACACGTTGTATAGGTGTGTATAAAATTTAATAAATTATTGGTAATTCAAATATAAATTTACGGCAATTGGAAATTTGTTAATATAAAATTTAAATTTGAATTAAATTTAATTTTTCAGTTAAATGAAGTACTTCGGAAAACATTTCAAAATGTCGAAAGATGTTCTTGTAATCAGTACAAGTAGAATATAAATTTTTGGAACGAAGATGGGGTCACAATGCGATGGAAACTGCAAAATATGGTACAATGAAGACTGAACTGGTTTGGCTATTAAAGATTTCAAAGAATTTCAAGCTGATCCCGAGAAACTATGCCTTGGTAAGAGACAAAAGCGCAAGTAAACTGTTATCGAAACTCCAACAAATGCACCTACTTTACGGATCAAAAATATGGATAAGAATACTAGTATACAGACTCTAAATTTGAAAAGTTTTTAAACTAAAATGTAATTTGCTAAACTAAATTGATAATTTTAAAAATTTTTTCAAAAATATGAAAAAATTTTAATTAATTATTAAAGTCTTATTAAAGTTTTCATATTATTTTAGAAAATCTAATTCTTTTAGAGATTTACAACACTGTTCATAATTGTTTATAACACTGTGTCTTATTGGTCCCATTATTCACAACACTCATTAATTATTTATTAAATTTATTTCGTATATTTAAAATTTAAATTTATTATTAAATAATAAATTATAAAAATTTTCTATTCATGTCCTCGAAATTTCTTCTATACCCTTTTTATTGTTATTTCTTTTTTTTTCTTTCGGTTCCTCACTTAATTAATAAATTATGAAAAATTGAAAATATTTTTATAACCTTAAATCAGTTACAAGTTATTTATTTTACAATATCTACATTAAAAAATATTTATGTACACCCACCATTCATATATACATACATAATAATATTTGTTATATTTCTTAAGCTATGTGTATCTATTATGTATACATAAAGATGTACATACATTGAAATTTTATATACTCTTTATAAATAACTTAAATCCCATTATCATATTAAGGACTAAAAATACATAAATTTTTATTGTTACCTTAATTATACTCTGATATACTCGTATATATATATGTAATGTACATATATATTTTTTTAAAATATTACCCATATTGTAAATATGCTATTAAAAAAAAATTTTTTTTTCTTATCCTTAACACCATCAAGATAATTACACACAAATACAAAATATTAAAAGGAGAGCAAAAAATATAATTTATATTATTTTTCTCTCTCATTTTTTTATAATACTTATGAGAATAAATGAAAAAAAAATAAAACGTATGTATGTATCTATATGTGTATATATTTACAATTATTATAGTAATAAAATAACAGTGGGAATAAAATGACAGAAAAAAAGTGTCGTCGGTTCGTTCATTTTCAAAAATGGAAAGATGTCAATTCATTATTCATTCACAATAAAAAATAAAAAATTTTATTTACTTGGAATGTAGAATTCGTATTTATATATGTATGTAGCTTTTTGTTCTTTCTATGCGGGAGCCACGTACACACGTACAAACATATATTAATATTTACAATTTCATAAATAAAAACTAGATGAAGAAATTTGAAATAATAAACAATTATAATCGAGATAACCTTGAGATATATGCACTACAGTAAAATAACAAAAAGATTTTAATACTTTAGACCTTCAGAAAACAAATTGTGTTCAAGTTTTCAATTGTATATATTGGACCGTGTTGGTGAATTTAACCACAAAATAAGAATGTGCAAATACGCATCCAGTGCCAGTAAGAAAATTTAAAATGTACGTGCATTATGCTTGATTTGTGAATTTTATTAAAATTGTGTTAATAAATAACACTTCGTGAGCTGAATTGTTTGTAAACACTGTGCGTTGAATATGACCTGAAGCTGATAATATAAGCCGTGAGTTGAATTTTGTATAAATACATTAATGCAATGTTGAAGTTAGAATATTTTTTATTTCATTTTTCCAAGATTAACAATAGAAAAATTAATTAATTACTGAGTCTACCTTCAGATTCTAACTCAAAAAATTTTTGTTTGAAAAATTATAATAACACCTAGCCCTAACAGTTTATTATGACTATAAATATAGACTAGTTTATGAATTAACAAAAATTGAAAGTAATGCGTCATTTAAATTGAATTACAAACACATTTTTATGTGTCCTCCAAATATTTCACATGCTTTTGTTTACAGGCACATATATAGTTGAATGATGGAAATGACTTGATGAGCAAACAGAATAATGTAGATGTTTGTTAACATTACGTTTTACTCACGTATAAAAGATAATAAAAAATAAGTTGTAATCATTCTATATAGGTACCATTGTATTTATTTTGGAACCTTACGCAGAAGGAAAAATTGTAGTGTCATTGTCCTCATTAATTTGTTTCCACCAAAATAACAAAAATGGAAAGTGAAACAGTCACTAAGTAAATTAATTTTTGTAATTCGTTCATGTTCAATCACAGTTTTTCGCAGTAAATTCTTGATTTTTTCTTTTTCGGGGAATTTGTTTGTCTTTCTTTTATTTTACTTATTTCTTTTCTATATTCATTAAATTTCACTGACTTTATTTTTTTCTCTGCTATCATAGAGGTAACAAAACCGTTTTTCCTTTCTCAAATTTTTTTTCTCGTATATAAAGGACTCCGCAGTAGGTATGAAATACAAAGTGTCATTGTAGAATATATTCGCGTGACTCTGTGTTGTACCCTGTGTGTTAAAACTTAGTAATAAGTATATAAAAATAAATTTCCCAACTAAAAAAAAAACAAAAATCAAAAAGAAAAAACATAAGTGAAAAATTTTTCATTTTTATCTAGAGTTTTTCTTATAAATTTTTTTTTTTCTTTTGCCTTATAATTTTCAATCAGATAAGAGGTCTAAAGGTAAACATGAATAAAATAAAAAAAAGGAAAAAAAAAATAAAAACAAAAATATAGTAAAATGACAGGATCAGAAATACAAAAATAAAATAATTATTATGAATAAAGTGGAGAAGGACAACGAAAAAGAAAAGGAAAAGAAAAAGAAAAAAAAAAGAAAAATACAAACTATAAAATAATAACTAGTTGATGAAAGAAATAACGGTATTAGATATTAAATTAAATTATACCGTAATAATACAAATTAACGGTAAATAACATTTTAATAAAATAAGTGTTGTGATGAATTTTCAGAATTTCTTGTATAATATTGTATTTGTATTTACAGTTTAATATTCGGAGTGCCTATATAAACACATACATGCTATTTACTTTGAATATATAGAACAAGGTCAGGAAAAAAAATTGAGAAATATTGTATAACTGAACGTCATTCTTAAATT